TCAGCCTGCAGGATGTCTGACCCCTTGGGACGTTCAGCCACCAACCTGGAGATCGTTCTGCCTCTGCTGACGCTTGTCCACGAGGCTCCCCGTGACGGAGCTGAGCTCCTCAAAGTGCCTCTGCAGCTTCTTGATGCTGGCCTCCATGCTCTTCAGCTGCTGCTCATCCTCCTTCAGAGAGGAAGATGACAAGGTGGTGTCATGCAAGGGGGCACTGGCTGCTCTGCGTGGACAGACCCAGGTTACTCGGCCAGTGGCCACAGCCCGTCAGCAGCAGCCGGACATTCGCATCAAGGCTTTAATTTCCTTCCGTGTTGCTGACTTGTACAAGCCAGTCTAGGGGGCAGCAGGGGCTCCCCCACATCACAGTGAAGCACAACCAGCTGGGGGGTCCCAGCAGTTCTCTCCCAGTACCCTCACACTGGAGTCATCCTACCTGGCTCCTCACTGGCAGCTGCATCACCACTTTGCTCATCCTCTGCTGCAACTTGGAGGGGTCCAGCAGCTTCGGGTCCTCCTTGTGCTGGACACGGCCCGGTTTCACGCTGGTGTCCAGGCTGCAGGCAGGGCACGCTTCCTGCGTCTCGGCCTTTGCCTCTGCCTGTGCCTCTGCCTGCTGCTGCCACTCGGTGCTCTCCACCCTTGCCTGCAGCTTGTCCAGCTGCAAGAAGGGGAGAAGGAATTGCCCCTGAGATGGAATGGATGTGGCCAACAAGCCCAGATGCCACAGACGCTCAGTGGTCCCATCCAGCCAGGGGACAAGCATGAAACCCTGGCCAGGACCACCCTGCTGAGCCTGTGGGCAATGGGAGCTCCCCCCCAGCCTCACCTTCTTCTGCAGCTTCTTTGCCATCTTGCTGACTGGTCCAATGCAGCCTTGTTCAACTCCTTGTGATGTTCCAGCTCCTGTTGGATTTCCTTCAGCCTGGACCTGGCCAAAGAGGGGGACATGGGCAGGTTTAGGCTCTGGAGCTTCTCAGGGGGTGTCTCTTGCTGCAGAGCGGGATGCTCACAGCCTTCCCAGACTCCTTGGCAGATCCAAGGGGTAGGAAACTTTCTCCCAGTCTCTTACCCCAGTTCCTGGGTGTTTTGGTCACTGGCATCCGTGCTCTGGTCAGCTCCAGCAGACCCCTGTTTTCCAAGCACCTCTTCCAGCTGCCTGATCTGGGAAGAGCAGCAGTGGCACAGTCAGGGCATGGCCCCTGCCTTGTCCCAGCATGGTCTTCCTCTCCCCACCCCCTCCCCCACTCCACCCACTGTCTTGGGGACCACCACTGGCTCACCTTCTCCTTGTGGTCCTGCACGTCACTGGCCAGACCTTGCAGGGAGGACACCTGGCCCTGGAGGTCGAGCAGAATCTTGCAGATGGTCTTCTGGTCTAGAGATGGGGTCCAAGGGAACACACTGTCAGTGAGGGAGTCTCATTCTTGGGGCCAGGCTCTAAGCACGATGAGCATGTGACCCAGAGTGTCCCCATCCAAAACACTCCCTTGCCAGTCCCCCCAGGGCTCCTACCTCCCTCTTGGAAGAGCAGCCACAGATTCTCCATTTTGGCCTGGTCCTCTTTAGTGGCCTCCAGCTGGGCCATCTGCTGCTTCGGGCCAGCAGAAAGGTGGCTGAGCTCTCTGACCTGGTCGAGAGCTGCCTGTGTCCTCAGAGCACTGGAGATGTCCCAAGTGGGGATCTCAGTTCCAGCCTCTGCTTTCTCTGTGTGGGGGCACCTCACTTTCACCCCTGCTCCTTCTCCATGGGTGTCTGGAGGTGCGAGCTGCATCTCCAGGATGTTGCTCTGGGTGCTGGAGGTCCCTGGCTCCGTCCCCAAGACAGTGGTCTGCTTGTCAGGGGACCCTGGCTGTGTCCCCAGGGTGGCCAGGGTGCTGGAGGTCTCTGGCTGCATCGCCGGGATGCTGGTCAGCGTGCCAGGGGACCCTGGCTCCTTCTGCAGGGTGCTGGTCCCCACGATGGCCTCACACTGGGTGCCATCACGTAATGTGGTGGCCTCAGCAGGGGCAGACTGGCCCCTACTGCCGTGCTGGGAAGAGAAGGCAAAAAGCAGCAGGGTTATGGGCAGCCGTGCAGCAGCAAGGACAGAGCCCAGGGCTTCTGCCCCTGTCCCCAGCCCTTGTCCCAAAACCACCTCCTCACTGGGCCAAACTCAAGTACCCCATGAGAGCCCAAAGGCAAAGTCTGCCCCCGCTGGAGAACCCCCACCCCCACGAGGAGCTGTGGCCACAGCCCCCAGCCCCTCCCCAGCCCCCCGGTGCCTGCAGAGTTTCAGCAGCCCAGGCAGGGGACCATCAACCCCCAGGTGATTCCCTGGGACAGGACAGAAAGGCCCTGTGTTCTCTAGCCATGACATCTCCCTGCTCCCCTTTCGAACCCATCTCCTGGTGCACAGTGCTGGGCTCTGCCCCCAAACCTCCCTCCACTGGTCAAAAGTGCCCTTGCACCCCTGCTTGGGGCACGCAGTTCCCTCTCTCCCCAGCCTGACCTGCAGGCGGCAGAGCCCGATTCTGCCCTCCCCGCAGAGGGGGCTGCCGATGGGGTGGGCTGAGCTCCCCTGCTCCCCGCCTGGGACATCCTTCCTTCGTGCTGGGTGACAGCCACGGCCATGGGGCAGGGACTGGGGTGGCTGGGAGATGGGGAGTGGGGCTGGGTGGGGCTGAGAGCCCAGCTCCCTCACAGGGACGCCAGCAGCAGCTCACCAAGCCAAGTGCATCATGGATCAGCCGGATGTCCTCCCTCATTCCGCTGATCTCCTGGAGGAGATCCTGGAAAACGGGCTGGTCCTGGGAGAAGGGGTTAGCAGGAGTGAGTTGCAAGAGAGCAGCTGGCTGGAGGTCAGGAGTGGGGAAGGGCAGGATGGAGGGTGGTGGAGCCGGAGCTCCAGGGGTGCTGAGCCCTGGGCTGGCACAGTCCAGGGCACCGGTGGCAACGTGGGGAGGACCCAGAGCAAGTGGAGCAGCATTTCAGCCCCAGCTCTTCCTGGGGCTTCCTGTCTGCTCCCTGTGTGTGGCCAGAGAGCTGGTTGTTAACATTTGAGAACCATGATTCATAAGAATTAGTTAGTCAGGTTACTGCAGTACTACCTGCACTCAGCTAGGTCAAGATCCAAAGTGCCACTGGCTGTCCAAGTTTAGGTAAAAATGCACATCAGCAGTTCCAAAATCGCTTGAGGACAAACAGGAAGGTGAGGGGATATGAAAATAGGTTCATTTCGTTACACGGAGCATAATGTAAATACGTTGTAATGTCCAAAACCTGAACTGCTTTCTCACAACAATTATTTCTTCTTTGTTAGTTGATTGATCGGTTTTCATGTTGTGGAAATAACCACGTTTGATGGCTGCTTTCCCCAGAGCGATGTAGCTGATTTGGCTGCTGCTGCTGCTGTTGTTGTTGTTGTTTGTTCCTCTGGAACCGGTGGCTCCGGGGGG